ACATTTATTGAGGTAAACGAGAGCTTAAATTGAACATTATTGTGAAATACATACTTTATTTTGAAAGCGTTACTTCCTGTCTTGACCTAAGTAGAAAAAAAGTACTGAGAAGGATCACAGAAGCACGGATTAATACAGCTTTTTGACCAAGGTAACCATGTGTTACTGGAAATAAAACAAGTAAAAAGGGAATTGTTTTCATTTTTTTTGTTTTGTTTGTTTGTTGACTGTTTTTACGAAAGAACTACAGATAAAGATTTTTATTGAATTGGCAGTTTTTCTGTTATTTTTCTACGAGACACAGATAATGGATCTGCTACCACGACCGTACCAGAGATTTGACTTTGGCCAGTTCCTGTGTGGTGTAATGACATCTGTGTTGTGTGGTTGCAGATGATGAAGATGATGATGATGTTGGTGATGCAGGCAACATGAYCATGGCTTGTGAAAACCTATTCCACTGTGAAAACTCGGACAGCTGCATTGATCAGAGCCAAGTGTGTAACTTTCACACGGATTGTCCCCTGGGTGAAGACGAAGGCTTTGTTTGTGGTGAGTTTTGTTTTTATTTTGGATATAAATTCATAAAATTTACTGAGGATTTTTGACATTAAATGATGTTCGACTAATGGTTTGTGTGTAGAGAAGACTGAGACATTAGTGTCTTTATGACTATAAAGTCTATATTCTTTAATGTTGAATTTACAACAGGCAGCTGCTTGTAATTATTTTCATTTTCATACTTAATCCCTAGAAAACAAACATGTTTCAGGAATATCACTGCCTTACTTACACTTCATCCCACCTCATACTCAGACTGGAACAATCCCTCTCCTTCAAAGCATCAGTCTGCAGTAAAAACACTTCAACACAATGAGAACCAACAGGCTTCACTTCAGGCAGTAATGAAATCAGTGTTGTCAGAGCTATTTAGAGTCCTTGAGTTGTTTGTCCCTGAGGGAAGGAGCTTCTGGTGGCAGAGATGGTTTCTTTCTAACATCTAACAAATAAAATCCACCTCACGTGAGTCCTCGGGGGGGGGGGGGGGGAACGCTCTTCGTGGGATGTTAACGCCACATGCTCAGATTTTGTTTGAGACTTTTTCTCACTTTAATTTGTATAGAAAGCTTAACCTGTATGTGTTCTTTTTAAATGTCTTCATGTGTTTGGTCCAACTTTGCGCAGGACTTGGACACTTCTGGGTCTCACTATCGGACAATTAGGGATTTGATCACAAATAGACACCAGGTGGAGTTAGAGGTTGGCTCTACATTGCCCCACATGGCAAAATTTATTTGGCCCAGTTCTGGCCCACGCATTGCACTCGGCCCAGATACAGCCAAGAATGATAGCCAGGTGATCCAGTTGTGGTTTGCCAATGTTTTTTATTTATTTATTTTATTTACCGTTATTTAACCAGGCGAATCCCGTTGAGATCGCAGATCTCTTTTTTTAAGGGAGGCCTGAGCCTGAAGACAACCTATTGTACGTGTTTTTGGGTTGTCTATGTATGGACCAGCACCACATAAACCAAACCACAACTGGGCCAGTTGTGGCATTTTAAAAACGGTGCCATTGTTACCAAACTTGGCCCACATCCAGCTGACAAACCACTTGCCATGCCAGCAGTTGTGAGGTGCAGGCAGGATAAACCCAGGGCACAGGCAAAAATCCAAAGTTTAACAAAAAGATTTATTAATAAAATAAAAAGGCTGGCAGGGCAGCTCAAAAACTCTGAGGCGAACAGGAACACAGAGAACACCACAATGGCTGTGTAAACAGCACAATGAATGGATCCAGACTGAGGACAAGACACCAAATATAAAGGTAAACAAATTAAGAGACATATCGGAAACACCTGGGGAGACACAAGAGGGATCAGGTGTGCGTGGGTGGGGCTGTAGGGCAGAGCAAAACAGGGAAACATTGAAAACACTAGAAAGTTAAAGAAAATAAACACAGACCATGACAGCAGTTAGCCAGCTTGACACCAGGGGTCGGATTTATAAAACTGGCGTACGCACAATTTGAGCCCAGGGGTCAGATTTATAAAACTGGCGTACGCACAATTTGAGCCCAGAAACTTGCGTACGCCACTTTTTACGCCAAGGTTGTGATTTATAAAATCCAAACTTGACGTGAAAATGTGCGGTGCCTCACGGCAGCTCTGACCCATGTGCACGCTCAGCTGCGACACAGATGGTGAAGTGAGGAATTAGAGCCACCCTGTGTAATGATCACTGTCAGATATTTAAT